CAACACAGAGATGATATATCTTCTCGCTCTCTATTTCTATTTTTTTCTGATACTTTGCAACATGCACTGCATTTCTGTTTTTTCTACACTTGCATATACACCTATTAACAGATACAGCATACATAATATATATATATATATATATAATGCTGGTATCCATGAAAATTTGTAAGGAGCCAAGTAGGCAATATACAATGACCTTGAACTAGATCAATTAATGAGGCAAACATTTTGAAAACTGGAAACGAGCCTGAACTGAATTTTAAAGAACATTTTACTTGTCTTGGACAACGAGGGCAAGTGTTACATCAACAGGAGCAGCTTGCCGATATTTCCTTTATATATATTCAATTTTTATTGGACTTTATTATTATGAAGTATTAAGATAACGCTTTTTTAAACAGGTTTTTTTTTTCTTTTGAATCGCTTTACTAACTTCTATTGGGACTAAGCTAATGTGTTTTACATGATAAAAAAGTGTTGAAAAGGCAGCCAATCATATCGGTTCTATTTGTTATTAAATACGAAAAACGAGAAAAAATGAACTCCTTCTTAATAACTGATTTTAACTGCTTGGTATTGTCAGGAAAAGATGCTGCATTCTTATGAAGCTTATAATAAAAGATATTACATTAGGTATAAAGGGGCGATTGTTTTCACGGCTTCCCAAAGAGAAATGTCACTAGCCTTCACATTTTATTTCTCAACATCCTGTGTCTTTGTCATCATCTCTCGGACCATCTCGTCCAATTTAGCCCGTTTTTCACGCTCTTCTCTTTAATTATGGGCAGTTTTTACCCCCTAAGCTTTTGTTTCGTCTTCCCTTTATTCCGATATATACTTTTCATTCAGTGCTTTTAGTCTGTCGATTTAGGCTCTATGTTCTCGTTTCTTTTGCCTCGTGGTCAATAGCGGCTGTCGTGATACTGATTTGATATTGAACGGTGGTTTGAATGTCATTAGCGTTGGTGATTGTATCTTTCAATAGTCAATATTTATCAATCTTTTAAATTACAATTCCAAAACTACTTGTAATTTCAACATAATAAATAAAAAATGGTCTTAAATTGTATTAAACATTTTCGTGTGTTAGAATAGTCGACCATAACCTTTACGTCACGAGGTTTCTGGTAAGATTGTATCATAACCCAGATCTATTGGCCATAATCTATTAATTCTACGTGTCAAAAATACGGCTCCTAGGCCAACATAAGGTTTCATAAAATGACCACTAATATACTAAGGAGACGAAATTAAAGCATTTGAACCATTTTTGGATGGACCTAGAGGTCGTCATTTAATATATGAGCATCTATAAGAAGGTCAAATCGTGTTCAATAATTTGCAGAATAGGCTGATTTATCCCAATTTTTTTTCATTAATATATGAGAGGGTTGGCGGGACATTGGATGGCAGGGGAAGGACTGCGCCATGATGGAAACCAATTCCCCACCAAACGGCAATGTTCTTCAACATGGATGTACATTTGATAGAAAATAAACTTGTAATGTTTTTAAAGTTTTATGTACATCTAATATTTCACTTAGTCATTCAAGTTACCATGCAATTTTTTAACAAAAGGATGCTAATTTTCTGTGTGTATGAAATATACGTAAGGCAATTAAGGCAAGTCACTCTGTTTGTTATATAAAGGAAAAAAATGATACTCTTAATTTCTAACGCTAAATTCCCTGGGTCAATGAATACAAGAGTCAAAACTCGCTAAAGAAGGGTATTCCTCAAAAATAATTATTATCAGAAATAATCCAAAAACGTCATTTTAATAACACGTAGATTATCTTTTGTAAATAAAATGAGATCGCATTTCTCATCAGAAATTTATGAACTTTGATGAATGTAACTTAAAAGTTTATTAAATCAATTTATATCGTTTCTTCTGTACTTTTTCTCTGCAATATATACGTTACTTTGTTTGAACATATTACTTAACGTTCAACCACTAAAAAACATGATGCCTTAAGAAAAAAAGAAGACACCCCATGAGTTAGTGAATAGTGTAGATTGTTTGCCCCCTTTCAAGTACTTTGTTTAATAAAGAATTGGAAATTATGTAAAAAAGTTATTATTTTGAGGTGGAGGAGGCCACCATCTCTTTATTACTAAAATCATACCTAACAGCCGTGACGTCATTGGGTTTGGTGTTACCCTGTGCGGTAATCTCTTGGTGTCAGCCAATGGAGACCTGTCTTTCAAAAATGATTGTTCAATTTTTTTTTAAATCCACAGCTTTGGGACACTTAAAAAATTGAGAACCTTTGGACAATGTAACGTAGTGCGTTCCGCACTCATAAGCGCATAGCAGTGTACCTGCTAATCACAGTTGACACCTCTCCCGGATGTCTCTTCTCTCTATTTCTGCCTTTTAATGACGCTAACAAACTAAGATTTTATATTTTTCCTCACACGCGCAAACAATCGAAACACAATTTTTGAACATAAAGATCCATAAATTTTACCATCTTTCTTCTAACCAGATCCACACACGACGAATGTCTCTCACAATAAGAAACAATGCTAAAAATTGAAAAGGAAAACGGAAATTTTAATCTGTTTATTTAATTACTAAAATAAGTGCAGAACTTAGAATATAACCAGTGACTTATTATAAAAATACAAATGAAGAATTTATAAGGGAAAAAAATGCCTTTAAATAATTGCTTGTGCACCCCTGTTCTTGAGTCATTCTTCCCGCTGTCCCTGGAGTTCTCCTCAGTTTGGTAGACCCTGTCATAGAGCGTGCCAAATCAAGCAATGCATTTTTTAACATTTAAAATACATAATCCTATAATTATTTCTCTTAGATTGTAACAACTGTGATTTCTAACCTTTATAGCGTATTACAAAAGTAATGACAGGTCTCTAGTCAACTAAGTAAGACTTAAAGTGACGGTCATATTTAATGCTACTTCTTATCTTTTACAAGCATTTTAAACGTTTAATTGACTTTAAAGAAGCGACATATCTATACAACTAATGGAAGTGGGGCGACATATATATATATATATATATATATATGTATATATATATATATATATGTATATATATATACATAAATGGTAATTAATGTGCATTTGGAGACTAAAGAGTGAGGTTTTGAGTTTAAATGGGCAATGAAAAGATGTGTGTTGGAAGGATGGATGATAATCGATGTTAAACTGCACTAAAATCATCAAAATACAAGCGAAAAAAATGTACTCTCCCCCAGATATTTATTAAGTGTAAACTTTTAGTTATAAAATAGTATGTACTATACCATATTTATAATGCGTTATCCACAAGAAAAATCCTTTAGAGCCAAAGCCATTATTCGTATAAATTACTTTAGTTGTCATGCATCGATTTAAAATAACTTAACTCATTGGTAATTATTTGGCAATGATTTATATTATTTTACAGAATCATTTACATTTAATTGAAGCAAAATGAGATATGGCCAGTAAAATGTAACGAGAGGAGAAGATCCGCTGCAACGTGTGAAAAGTAATATTTAAAATAATGTTCAAAAAACTATATAATACGCTACGGTGACATATAGGTATAATCCCAACAAACTGAAAACAACGATTTTTTAGAGTCTTAAACAGATATGTCTGTAGGTTAATACATTTTTGTTATCTAATTACAATAATAGGAACACAAAAAAAAAAAAAAAAAAAAAAAAAAAAAAAAAAAAAAAAAAAAAAAAAAAAAAAAAAAAAAAAAAAAAGACAGCAAAGACTTTTTATAGCCCTTGGGTGGATCATCTGTTTTCGCTCTCCGTTTCGCAATTAGTTTCGTAAAGCCACCTTTTTCCGTGTTTATAATGAAACATTTCGCAACGTATTCATGTTGAACCCGATGCAGCCATTATTATATTTATTCATAAAGCATAATTCAAAGCATAGTGAACAACGGGACACTAAGATCAGGCATTAAAAAATCAATCACAATCCAATCTCTATACAGTTTTTGTAACTATACTATAAAAATTTTTTTAAAATTGAAGAATATTCTAAATTTAATTTTTAAAATCAATCAAATGCACGATATAGAATATAGTTTTATTAAGAAAAGTATATAAATAAATTCATTCTTTTTTCAACATGTTTCAGCGTGAAAATCTGAATAATTTAAAAAAACGATTCTAAATAGTCCCGAAATACAATACTTTACGATTTTAAATTGATCAAACAAAGGGCAAATGTTAAATTATGGAGTATTTTCCTTTTTCAAAATTTTCAATATCATAAATAAAAATTCGCTAGGTGTATGTATTGCTCTAACGTTTTGTTCATTAAGCATATAAAAATCAGAGAAGAAACAATAAACAGTGCGTCACTTGGATGTATATTAAGTGAAGTAACTTTAATAGATGGAAAGTTCATGCATTGCCTCCGCCATTGTTTGACAGGTTGTTTCTGGTCATAAATAATATTTCTCCATACGTGTATGTATGTCTGTAACGCTGTTTCAATGGGCGCGAAAAATAAAATGTTCAGACGTGAGCACTATTTTGGACTCTATGTGCGCTAACTGAATGCTTGTTTTATCAAGTAACTTTAGCAGATGGGAAGTTAACGCATTGCCGCTGCAAATATTTGGCAAGTTATTTCTAGTCTTTATTATAACATTTTATTTTACATTATATAATATTACAAAAAATACAGTTAAACATATTGCTCACTAGACTAAGTTTTATCCATTCGTGATAAACCCTTTAGCCTGATAATATTATAAATCATTAAGTCAATGGCTAACTTAATCTAACATTTAAGCAAAACAAATCTTATGACTGGAATCATCACGTTGGACAAGAGAAATGATCCAATTGGTTTAATGGTTTCCCACAAGGAATCATTGTTGACCGCAACATTTTCTGCCTCAACTTTACTGGCACCCTTCTTCATTTCGTCGATCATTTTTTCCATTCTTTCCTGCCATTCACGATCTTCCCTGTCCATTTCAGATATCTTCTTATCCAGTTGTCTACTGGCCTCATCGTCTTTTGTTTTCTGTCGTTCTTTCTCTGCTCTCAGCTTTTTTATTTCTGCTGTATGATTGCGTCTTTTCTCTTTTATTTCAATGGCACTCTTCGTTGTTAGTATATGTTCCTTAACAGTATTTTGAATGTTTCTAGCGCTGGTGATGATATCTTTTAGCGCGCCAGTATCCTTGTCTTGATCGCGGACACTCTTCACCAAGTTATCAGTTCTTTGTTTTAGCACAACGAGCTCTTTTAAACGATTCTGAGGATCATCCACATCAACCTTTCCTAGTTGTTGAATTATAAGACTAGCTTCCTTCATCGTTTCCTGTTGAATAACTGGTATTTTCGATTTTAAGATGATATCATCTCTTTGCTTTTGGGCCATTATAAAGTTTTCATCTGTATAGCGCAAGCCTGATGCACTCAATCCATCTACGAGTGACAAAAGCTCATTTATTTGTCCGCTTCTTCTTGCGAAATTTTTGGTAATGTTGTCAAACAAAACGACCCTTCCATTACATTCAAGAAAGAGGGATTTAAAAACGCCTGTTTGAGAATTGCACCAGTCCTTGAATGAAGGGGCGGGATTTTCTTTTGGGTTAAAGTTATCTCCACATGTAACTATGAGAATGCAATAATTCTTCACGAAGTCAGGTCCAAAAATGGCTTTTAGAATCTCGATAGTTTTTTTATCTTCTTTTGTGAATCGCCCTCCAAATCTAACGACAAGCAGAAAGGCATGGTACCCACATGTATTAGCAGCAATAGCTTTTGTCATGGCGTCAATGACAAATTTCACAGATTCTTCGTCTCCGAGGTCAGTATCGCCAACCCCTGGGCCATCAACGATCGTGATAACACGTCCATTGTATTCTGAAAAATTTTTTTGAATTTTTTTTGTGACTGAAGTCGAGCTGGCAGTACTTTTAAAGACTTTCCTGTTAAGAATCGTGTTGCCGGTTGCACTTTTTCCGTTCCCGGTTTTACCAATGAGCAACAGATCAATGTCACGAGAATAGTTTGATCTTGCTTGATACATTTCTTGAGCAGTTCTGAAAGTAGATTAGGAACTTCGCTCTTAGAGATATTAATAATGCTTACAAATATAGAAAACTGTTACATTTCCGAGATGAAATTTATGAGAGAAAGTGTTCAAGTCGTGTGAAGTAAAAATGACAAATATTGGAAAATTATATGTTTAGGCTTTCAGATAAATGACACGATTATTAAACGGACATTTAGGTTAGATGACTCCTTCAGCATTTAATACGAAACAAGAAATATCATAAATTTTAGATTTAAAATAGAAATACAAATATTTTTTTTTCTAAAATCTCTATAATGTAATGTAACTTATTGTTTAAACAAGAAGAAGCGCTCACTTTAAAAAAAAAAAAAAATTACCACAATTTTCAATTGAAGCAATGCCCTACGGAGTCAACGCATAAAATCTTTTGATTAATTTATTCTCCATATAAATACTTTCATGTGTATTAATCGTATACAAAATACCAGTGACTGTTATGTCCAATTTTTTTCAAAATAAAAGAGAGGAAAACATAAAAAAGGAAACTGATTCGGAAACTATTCATTTGTTAAAGAAAGCTAATAATGGAGAGCTAAATGCAACGTTTTTGTTACTATTAAGTCGTAAGTGATTAATACTAAATAATTAGAAAATCTTGGTACCTAAAAAAAATATAACTAATTGCAAAAGTTAAAAAAAAAAAAAATTTGGGAACACTCAAAAGTGAATTATTATTTAGAAATAATTCCCTCTCTTTCTTTAAAAATGTAATAGGATTTTTTTTAAGAAGACAATCAATGTTCTTTTTGTAAAATAAATGAATGGCATTATAATTATCAACTTCATCAACATAAAACATTAACTAACATTTACCTTATACTGGCATTATTTCAATTATAGAACAGAATTAACACAGCCATATTTATATTTAATTCGCTTATTCAATGAATCTACTACTTATTCTGCCCGCACTTTCGATGGCGTCATTACTGGGTGGGGGGGGGGGGCTGGGGGGGATAAGACGAAGTTGAAAATTAGGCCTGTGAGGCCTAATTAGCATTCATAATATTGACTCTAAGGTATCTGTAACACAGTCGATTAACAGTCGGCGAAGCCCTGAACCCAGGATGCCAGCTTTTAGAAGCTTTTTAATAAGGTATATTGACGGGGACTTTGACCAGATGGCCAGATAAACGAAATTGTTGCTGGGCCATTCCCTGGCTGATTTTTATGGCCCCAACCTTTTGTTGATCATTGGTGGCATCTGGTTTGACTGGTTACTCCTAATCTCCGAGGTATTCTCTTAATTATTAAAAATTCAATTCACGCAAACAGAAACTTTTATAAAAATTCACAGTGACACATTACCACATGCTTATTTATACAAATAAACAATTTAAAAAAATAAAACAACTACCTAATTTTACTGACTTGATACTCTAAGAATATGATAAATGCAGTGACAACCAACCAGGTAAAAGACAGTTGAGCTATGCCATTTTTATGAATGTGGTTTATATCGTATGGAGTCAATGGCATCCTTGACTCATTTCATCGCTTTATGTTGTCCGATGTTTTTAAATTCCACTAATTTTCTTTTTTTCTTTCCGTTAATCTGAACTTGGTTTTCGTTAGCGATTGTTTCCCATTTTTATTATTTTCTTTCATTTTAGGTATATACATAGGATATATATATACACATATACCCATTAATAATTCTATTAATGTTTTTTGTTGTTCTCTTCAAGGCATTTTCCGATAATTTTTAATGTGTATATTGGGTAATAGTAATCAAAGCTTCACTTTTTTTTTAAAATTTACCCATAGAGTATCTTATTAATCTATTTAAAAGCTTTATAGCAGTCCAACGCTCATATAATTGGTTAACTAAAACATTATATCAGTAGACTGCATTCATTTTTATTAATGACACTTATTGGAATAAAGTTTTCTGTCAGAGTTAAAAAAAAATAAAAAAATTAAAAAATAGACATATGTTGTAGTTACCATTTAATGTTTATGCGCAAAATAAAGCAATAGTATTTTAGAATCAGAGTACTAATATTTAGTTAGATGATTAATGAAACGCAAATCAATAACTATAAAGTAAATAAAATAAAAATTACAGGCAACAAAATAATTAAAACAATAGATTTTCAAAAACGGTTTCTACATTACTTACCCCCTTTTTTTTTACAAGCTTCACTTGCAATTGCTAAAGGCTTAACAAAAATTCAGGTAGAATCAATCGTTTCAAATGTGTAACGACTGGTCTTCTTAGACTGCTGAAACAGGTTGTCGCACGAAATTTAACGAAGTCGGGTGTAATCGCTCGTCTCACGAGATTATATAGGTCGAAGCCTTCAAATGTCATATCAAGTTTATAAAGCCGGTTTCAAAAAGAACGAATATATCTATTTATAACAGATTTCTATTCGATTCAGTGTTAGGTGCAAACAATTATGATGCACTATTTTTGTATGTATGGAAGGGGGGGGGGTGTACACAAAGTTGTTGTATCTCACCCTAAATCACGGAAATCCCTGATCGATTAGTAGTACATTACATATCCTCGGAAAATCCTCCCCCACTCAGAAATTTCCAGGGAAACGTTTAGAATCAAAACTTTAAAAAAAAAATCTTCCAGCGAATCACAGATTGTGAAAAACTATCGTTATGCGTTAGGACTTGTTCAATCTTGTCAATTAATGGTGCTGAATTATTAACCTTAGTAGTACTTGCATATCAGTTCTCAAGCTTTTTCAAGTCATGACCACATATGTAATAAAAGCAGTTACACACAACAGGTTAAATATTGTTTTTAAAAGGGTAAACTCTCCGTTTTTTTTGTAGACGACGTGTTTACGTCCCATTTCCCCATGCCGTGAACTCTAGCTGGGACCAAGCTTGAGACCGCATTTAAGGTTTGGCTGGGTAAAAATAGTATCTCTTGACCTAGTTTACAACTAAAGAAAATAAAAAATCTGTATTCTAAGAATACTCTAGAAGAATCTGGATACAACTGGAAAGGAAAATAAATGCGTCATGCGGTTCTAGAAATATGAGTAAAACAGACTATAAAAAGTGACACGAGAGATTTTTGAGCTAGCATTTATTACGAGATATTTGGCTCTCAACATTCCTAACACAAAGACTATGCAAGTAGTGGTGGATGGCGTCTGAGCAGGCAAAGCCACTGCTTACTCAGGAGTTTCATGAAACAGTGCTGGGTTCCCTTCCCTTTCTCTGTCATATAAACGACCTCCCTGATGCTATAAAATCTCAAGTGTGGCTGATTGCAGATGACTATCTTGTCTACAGGGAAATAAACGGCTACAATGACCACAATCATCTACAGGCAGATTTGAAGTGCCTTAGGAATTGGGCGGACAAATTGGGGCATGAAATTTAACGAAACCAAATACTACACAATGAGCATCTCAATAAAAAACGATCAACCTATATGTATTCTCTAAATAAGACCATTCTACAACAAGTATCAAATAATCCATACCTTAGAAGGCTATTCTTGAATAATCTAAAATGGTCACCCCCAAATAAACACAATTTCAAAAAAGCCAGCTCTACACTTGGTTGCGCCAATACCCAACATCCTGCTAACGTCCGCTACTAGAATAGGGTGCGATCATCTCGGACACATATCTACAGCAAAACGTGGACAAGATGGAGCGAAGACAACGTAACGCAGTGTGCTTCAACAAACCCGCCACTCTTGGCTTCGTCACTGACCTCTTAAAAAGATTTGACATCCCCTCCCTCAAAGACAGACGAGAAAAAGCTCCGTCTAACATTGCTCTATAAAGTGGTCACGGGGCTACTGCCGGCCATTTCAGCTAACACGTATCTAGCCCAACAGAAGCCAGCTCGCTTAGTCAGATCCAAACGCTCAATAAACACTGACTTCACTTCTGACAACTCCATGAGAAGTTAGATCCGGAACAATGATATATGCTTCACTGTACCTAGGTGTAACACAGTTCCATATAAACAATCGTTCTTCCCACGAACAATAATTGCTTGGAGCCAACTGGACAATGCCGCCATGGACTCCACCTCAATCGAGAGTTTCAAGGCTGCCCTGGCACCCGCTAGGAGCCGTTAGGATGGACGCATCGTTTCCCAAACCGTTGCACATATGCCAGATCATGGTTGCAGCAATGTAGTCTATCAGAATCAGACATTTTTACATTACGGGACGACAGGCAAGAATTATTTTGAGAGTGTTTTCTTGCTAGAGCTTCGTTTACCGTATATGTGTGGATTCCTATTCATCGGTGTTCCTTTTTTGCATATTGTTTTTCATCCACATTGTCCAGGTACATCAAAAAATTACTCTGTAACTTTATAGCTTTGATTAAATTTTTTTTTAATTTTGTAATTTATTAGTAAATTAATAAAACATATTAATTGTAATTAGCCCTGGTTTGAGTGTGGTATTCTTCATTATTGTATTTATAATTATGGTATCGTCTTTTGTTATGTACTGTTTTAGAACGAACCATACATTTATTTAAGAGATAAATTTCTCCACACTGACAACTGTACGTAAAACACCAAAATAAAACTAATAGACACTAATAATTTTTCTAGGATTATCGAATGCTCCCACATATAGCGAGTAAGTGTAAAGTGTGTAGTAAAATTAATAAACTGCTTTACTTTACAGTGTATTAACCATGGTGTAAAGGTGTCTTCTGCTTAATTTAAAAGTTTGTTAGGACTAGAATTTTTTTTACCTTTAAAATATAGATGACTTGCTCTAGATCAAAGGTTACTTGATATATGTAGGCGTGTATTTTTGATAAACTATACTCGGAACAAAACGTTATGTTTAGAAAATAGTTTGAAGATAGCATTATCGCAAAGAAACCAATTCTTGTACAACAGGTCATTATCAGTGGCGCTAAAGCCCATGTAGAGTCCTTGCCTACTCCACCACATCCTTCCATTCGGATCGATCCATGGCTTTCGGTCTCCATGCGAGAAGCCCAAGCAGATGTTTATCCTACTCAATATCTTCGATTCATCTCAGTCCAGGTCAATCATAGAGCCATCTGCCCCTAGGTTTCTGCTTATATATCACTTTCTGAACTAGAATCCGGCATCCTTCAAATATGTCTTGTCCAGCGCAGTCTACCCTTTTTATATTGTTGCGAATATAGGGTGCCTTTGTATAATTGATCAAGCTCTTGGGTTGTACAGATTCTCTAAACATAATAATTGTCTATCACTGGGCAATATATTTTCCTAAAAATTTTCCTCTCCCAAGTTCTATGCTTTTTTGGGTAAGGGACCAAATATTACTAGCGTAAGTTATTACATGTCTTTATGATAATGGTGTATATTGCCTTCTTTGTTCCCTTGAGAGGTATTTGCTTCCCAGTAGCTTTTGTAGGCTGAAATAGGAACGTTTGCCTGCTTTTATACTTTTTTTCAATTTCGACATTATCTCCTTGTGCTCGTTTATAGTTGCCCCTACATATTTGAAAGTAGCGCTAGATAAAATCAAAGCCCACTTGATCTATGTAAGCGTGTATTATGTGATATACTGTATTTAAGTCTTATAAGGGTGAGGCCTTCTATGTTCCATAAAATTATTTTTTTAACTATTACACTGAACTTTAATAGCCGTACAGCAGCTTTCACTCGAATTATAGGTATGGCTAAACATGATTTTAAAAAAAAACAACTCAATCTGAGAGTAGGGATAGGTCCAAATTTATGTTCACTTTTCATCAACATAACCTTAAAGCTCGTTTTCTGATTTTAAAAATAGGTACATTATTATGACTGAACCTGTCGTCAATGAGATTTTTTGAAAAAAAAACTCCTCTTTTCGCTTTCCAGATTTTCAAGAACCATAGGAACATGCTTGCTAGAAACCACCTCCCTTCCATTAAAGCACACACAGGCAAAGAAAGTTGCAACCGTAACCCATGAAACACATGTCCCTATGTGATTGAAGTTGACAAGATCATTTCCCTATTCGTTCCTATATCATTCGTACTATTGCGATAAAACTTTGGTGTGTTGTTGTGAGCACGTCCGCAAATATTTTTAATTTAATCCAACCTATTAGCCCTATATTCGTTTTTTTCTTACTTGAGCTTTATAAATATAATTTCCGTATGCGTTCCGATTCCATTCATTCTATTGCAAAAAAAAAGTTTGTTGAGTTTTTGGGCACACACCCGCATATTGTACTAAATTAGTACAACCATTGTACAATATTCAGTTTGGGGCTGGGGGTCTTAAATTGCTTCTTTTCTTATATGGGAAACGCAGAAGGCTGCATAAAATTAAAATCATAAAACTTAAATGATCGAAAAAAAAAATAATATTTATAATATTTACTATTTTAAACAATGAAAGAGTACAAACTCCCGTTTTAAAGGTATTAACAATTTGCATAAGCATAAAGCTAAAAAGTAGATTTGAACGGACTTTTTTGTCCAGAAAACACTTCCTAAGAACTCTCCCCAAAACCCAACAGTTCTAATCTGAGCTCCTTTGCCTCCCTGCCCCCTTTTCTTCTCCAGCCGTTCATTGGGTGAGGAAGATGCCATGTGGATACAATTGAGATGAGACCATTCAGATCAGCATGATGGAGTTAATTAACGTAGCGATGGAATGACGCCTGTCAACAGAACAATTACGTTTGACAAACAAGTAAAATGAAGTAGAAACAAGTCTTTAATAAAAAAGGAAGTGAAGTGTTGATGTTGAAACACGTTCTTATTTCATACATATGTTCTTTTTTGGCCTGAACCCAATGCACTTGATCTAACTTAAAAGTTTAAATGTAAGAATACTGATTCATCATTGATTACTAGTGTTAACACTAGCTATCAATTATTGCATAATAATGTTTGGGCTTTTTTTTATTTATTTTTTTTTTAAGTGGTTATAATAAGGAAATGATTATTTAAATACAATAATTATCTTTTGACGTTTTCGATTAATTAATTTTTTATCACTTCATTCAACTTTAAAAAAATTAGTTTCTGAGCTTTCTTTCATTAAATTATGCACTTAGTGAATTGCTGGTATCTTGGCTCAGAGGATGTATAAAATGGAGAGAATATTGGGTTCACTGGCGTAGACGGTAGAGGATGAGTGAAAGCATTAAAGGGGTGCGGTGGAAAAAAAATGTTTTGAAAATGAAACGAGGTTCACCCGGTTGGATGGATATAAATGTTAAAGAAAGTGAACATAACGTAGAAGTAAAAGGAGAGTTACTAGAGCATCCAATTTACAAAAGTAATGGGGACAATTATGGTGAACCCTGCCAAAACATATACGGCGCTTAGTTTATTTCTGAATATTGAAGGTGGTGAGACAGCAACGTAGCATCATCAGTACTCCAAGTACATGCATATTTGCATTCAATCTTGCCTATTCGAGTAATTAAAAATTAAGAGAAAATCAAATCATGTTTTTATCCTTTATTGCTTTGTATTTGTTCCACAATTTAATATGTTTATAAATTTAAAAAAATGATCTACACTTAATTTGTTTAATTAATCGCGTAATTTAACAACATATTAAGCTTTCAAAGACAAAATAATACGAAACATTAAAATTAGAAAATCTACATATTTATGTGATGTATAATAATATACATTTTGAAAATTAAAATTTATTTTGAAAAAAGTGAAATTAAAAAAAGATTGAAACAAATGTAAATGTACAAAGGATTTTACTAAGTCACCACTTTATTATCAAATATTAAAAAGAAGCAAACGTATCTGTACACTGCAAAGACTATTGTATAACAACAACACAACGAAAAAATAATGGACATCCGGTTTATAAATTTAAAACTGTTGAAAATCTTTTAATAGATCATATTATATTTTATAATTGTATATGATAGTCTGTCTGTGATATAGCATGAAATGTACCATAATTAAAGATATACAAGATATACAAAGAATCAGTACATGTATATATATATATATATATATATATATGTATCTTATCATCTAAAGAATTTATCTTAAAAGAATTTATTTGTTTGATTTGAATATTTTAATTTAAAAGGAGATTATTTATTTTAGATACCAAAAAGAATGCGAAGAAAGCAGCTGATAACTGGTTTTAACAAAAGTCTAGGTAGGAACATTTGTAACTTACAATTTTAAACAATTAAAATATTTTTAAAATAAATTTATTTTAAATCATGGTTCAATTCTTATCTTGCACACCTAAGAGAGAAGATTTTTAAAATAGTTGAAAACCTCCTTAACTGGGGAAACAAGATAAGAGCCGATAGTTTTAACAGTTTCCATAAAGGAATCATTATTAACCTGAACATACTCTTTCTCAACTTGTTGTGTCTTTCTCATCATTCCTCGCACCATTTCGTCCATTCTGGCCCGCCTTTCATGCTCTTCTTTTTCAATCTGAGCAATTTTAGCCTCCGCAGCTCTTCTATCCCCTTCTTTTTGTTCCTGTAAGCGTTTTTCCAGCTGTGCCTTTAATCTGTCCATCTCTGCTTTATGCTCCCGTCTCTTTACTTCGTTGTCTATTGCATTCTTTGTAATTCTTATTTGTTCTTGTACGTTGCCTTGAATGTTCCTAGCGTTGTTGATAATAACTTTCAAAGCGCCGGTGCCTTTATCTTGAGCCAGGACACTGTCTACCAGGATTTGTGCTCTTTGTGCAAGTCCTTCAAGCGCTTTCAATCTTTGCTGTGGCTCCTGCACGTTAAACTTACCCAATTTTTGAATGATGAGACTGGCTTCCTTCATTGTTTTTCTTTGAATCATTGGCACTTTTGCCTCAACCATAATGCGGTCTCTTTCTTTTTGAGCTTTTCTAAAATGGTCATCTCTATACCGATGTCCAGAAGCAGCCAATCCATCTACAAGTGATAACAGTTCATTTATTTGTTTATCAATTTTTTTAGAATCTTTTGTAATGTTGTCGAACAGTACAACTCTACCATTGCACTCTTTGACTAAATTGTCAAAAACACCCGTTTGAGCCTTGCACCAATCTCTAAAACTTTCCTTTTCCTTGTAGTTGTCTCCACATGTCATACACAGAATGCAATATTTTTTTACAAAATCAGTTCCGAAAATTCCCTTCAAAATGTCGATGGTTTTCTTGTCTTCTTTCGTGAATCTTCCCCCAAACCTAACAACCAATAGAAAAGCATGATAACCATCTGGACTGGCCGCTATGCTGAGTTTTATGGAATCAACAGCAAGTTTAATACCGGCCTCAGCGTCTAGGTCAGTGTCTCCAATACCAGGGCCGTCAACAACCGTGATGACACGACCGTAGAAATCAGAATGATTAATCTGCATGCGTTTTGTAACAGAGGTCATCACCGCCTTGCTTTCGAACAAGTCTCGTTTAAGAAGCATGTTTCCTAGAGCACTTTTCCCGTTCCCAGTTTTACCGATAAGCAGAAGATCAACATCTTTACCTTGATTAGCCATTGTTGAAGATAAATTTAAGGATTTCTGAAAATGGATACAAGTAAAATATTGCTTTTTATTTGCAGTTCCATTTATATATATATAATAATAATAGAACAAAATTAAACTCCAAAAGACTTTAAAGATCTTGATTAAATATTAAATGGTTAGTTAGACTGTTGCGATTTCAATATTTTCAGTAGCCATATAACCCAAGCCCCCTGTTTCAATGGCTAGGAGATATAAAATTATATCATTTTGTCCATTCTTTTTTATGGATATATAACTCAGGTAATATAATTTCCATTACCCCTTATAAAGATAATTATCATACATTTTTTTTATCATATAGACTTGATTCGTAGCTAAGAAAAAATTTAGTAAAAAAGAAAAAAGGTGCTTTTTTTAAAAACCAGCATCTGCTGTTAAAACAATTTCATTTACAGGAAAAAATCAAACTATTTAAACTATTATATAAACACAACCAGGGGGGGGAACACACACAATCATTACGATACTCTTGGTTTAAAAATATATACATGTGTAAACTCTCAAATGAATAAACTCATTTTAACTCCAAATAATCATTTAAAATTAGACATAGTGCTAATAACATTGCAAATAAATGAGACGCGATCGACTGTTGCTAGTCAGATTTTTATTTTCTTCTTCTTTAAATTTTACTTAACTATTTAAAGATAAACCCTGACCTTGAAGTCCAATTTCTTTCATAAAAGTATTTGAACTCTTACAAGTAATACTATTATGCTATATGACATTATTTCCTTGAAAAAATGCACCCCTCACAAACACATACACGCACATACTCTATGGCTGGATTAGCTTCTCAAGGAAACAAATAGTAGTCATTCATTATTTACTACAAGATATTTTACTACAGGGTCAGCTTGTCATAATAAAATAAAATAAAGTCAACTATTGAAGAATCAATCCAATGTACATATAAACAGTGTGTCATTAAAAAAAAAATCTATCTCAAACAGATAGTCCATTCAAGAAAAATATATATAAAAAATATATTGTTAAAATGGTGTAATCAAACTAGCTGTTTAATAAATCATTGCACCCCGCCCTTCCACAGCAATAATTTATCACCATAAACTAAAGATATTACAAACATTCTTTTTAACTTACAAGATTGTCTTTTAGCTTCTGAAATGTACAATTCTATTTGCGAGAGTCGAACCGTGCTTAAACAACGACAGCAGAGCGACTACTTATAAACAGTTTCGTGGGGATTATTTATATACATGGTTTTGTGTGTGCGTGTGTGTGTGTGATGGGGGTGGGGCACTTTTTTTCAAAGGAAATAAGTTCATTCAGCATGTATTAGCTGTCAGTTAGAGGTCAAAAGTTTTAACGAAAAAAAAATGAACCTCAAGGTTGAGCTTTCAATCGAAATTAAGACGCAGAAAAATGGGTAAAAATTTAGAAAAATTTTAAAAAAAAAATATGTTTTATTTAGGCCGACGCATGAGGACTGCAATAAATGAATGATAAATAAGCAAATGTCCCCCCCCCCCTTTTTTTTTTCCTCGGTCAAATTGAAGAAAAACTGATTATAATTGCAAAATAGAAATACGTAAACAGAAAAAAATTAAAAAAATTTTAAAAAAAAAATATGTTTTATTTAGGCAGACGCAAGAGGACTGAAATAAATGAATGATAAAAAAGAAAAAGTACCCCCCCCCCTTTTTTTTTTGCCTGGATCAAATTGAAGAAAAACTGATTATAAATGCAAAATAGAAATGCGTAAACGAGTGCTATGTCCGGTTGATAACTCGATTGACCACCGACTAACATAGTGCAAGAAGGACGGAGGATTCTTTTAGAGTGCAAAAAGAAATCAAATTTTAATTTAAAGTTAATTTTAAAAAAAAATTCATATGTAATAGCAAATTAACGTTTTGCTTTTCATATTTCGGTAAATATTTTAGAAATGAATGTTCCATTAAAAAAGAAATAAGCTCGAGAAATAACATTTAACCATTGAAATAACCATTTAAAACTATACATAAATTATTATAAAAAAAATTATAACTGTATTTTGAATTTAACATAATTAATTTTGGGAAAGACTCAATATTCCCCCCACAAGATCCCACCCCCCCCCCCAGCCCCATTTTTGCTTGGAACCCGTCCTTGCCTTCAATTTATCCCAAAAGCCGATTTATGGGAAAGAATGGGGCAAAACTAAGAAATAACATTTAACCATTAAAATAACCATTTAAAACTATACAAAAATTATTATAAAAAAAATTATAACTGTATTTTGAATTTAACATAATTAATTTTGGGAAAGACTCAATATTCCCCCCACAAGATCCCACCCCCCCCCCAGCCCCATTTTTGCTTGGAACCCGTCCTTGCCTTCAATTTATCCCAAAAGCCGATTTATGGGAAAGAATGGGGCAAAACTTAGTTGGGCTATGTTTGACGACTCATGCCACAAGAGCCAATGTTCGCCCCCACGTAGATGCCATTGCCTGCCTTATCCCCTCCATGGATCACATTTTAAAGAAAACACCGAATTCAAATATACGCCAAATCGCTCCCCTAATTTAAAATTTTAAATTATAGTAAAGTTCACTCGGGAGCGATCGGCGCCACAGCTTTCAAATCTTATCTCATCATCAAAACGACGACGTGGCATTTGTTGAAAAATAGAAAAAAAAAACAAGCAAAGAATTTTAATTAATAAAAACGACGATTTCTTTAAGATACACAAAATTTATTTTAGAGTATGTTTGGAATTTGAAATATTTGAGTAGCGTTAAGCACATGTACTTAACTTACTATAAAACTAGTTAATTGAAGGAAACACACCTATTTATTTCTCTCACATGTTCTGGAAAAACAATATTTCAGAAAACATTATTGTTGAAATTTGCTAAGACCTGTTTAGACCCACTATGAAACCGCGTCAGTTTTTCTTTCATGATAAATATTCTTTCCGAAAAAAATTTGTCCCAACCAGCTTAGACTTGTCTTTACTCATTTTGAATTCGCGCCAATTTTTCTTTTCTGGAAAAACAATACATACGAAAAAAATTTCAAAGCTTTTTTTTGGACTTGTTTTTACAAGTTTGAAATCTGCTCCAACTTATTTCTGGAGAAAAATTTGTTTCCGAAACAATATTGCAAAGTCTGCATAGACTGGTTTTTCTTAATATTAAGTCGTGCTTAATTTAAAAACAAAATAAATGATTTTTTAGTTTAACAAGTTCTGTGTCATTTTCATTGGTCATGTTTGGCGACTAGCCAATATTCGCCCTGTCGGATGCCAAATGCCTGAAATTTCACCTCCCTGGATCACATTTTCTGAGAGAAACACTGAATTCAATATACGCCAAATCACTCCCCTAGATTTTGATTTTATTAAAAATGTCAGAACCCTAATCACTTTAACTCGGGAGCGATCGGCTCCAAAGATTTGAAACCATATCTCCTAATCAAAATGACGGTTTTTTACTTATTTTAATTATAGCACTATACTTAAGATGATTTCTTGAAGATAAACGTTAATAAATAAATAATATAAATTAGAGTATGTTTAGACGTTTAATTATTTGGAAAAAAAGAACATTAGAACTTAACTCCCTTTTAAATTTGTATAGCAAAATACCCTCCTTATTATTTCGCTAACATGGTCTGGAAAAACAGTGTTTCAGAAAGAACATTTTTTCTTCAAAACTTGATAAGACCTTTTTAGACTCATTATGAAATCGCGCCAGTTTTTGTTTCTTGAAAATTATGTTTTCGAAACAATTTTGTCCCAACCAGCCTAGACTTGTTTTTACCCATTTTGAATCCGAGCAAATTTTTTCTGGAAAAACCATATATGCGTAACAAATTTGTTCAAGGCCTTCTAAGACTTGTTTTTACAAGTTTGAAATCTGCGCCAACTATTTTCTGGAAAAATTTTCTTTCCGAAACAATATCGAAAAACCACGGCATAGACTAATTTAACTCAATATAAATGTGGGCCTAATTTTAAAAAAAACAAAACAAAAAACCAAATGTTTTTTTAGTTTAACAAGTGTTTTGAGATTTTATAATTCGATATGTTTGGTGATTAATGCCGTAATAGACAATATTCGCCATCTTAATTGCTAAGTCTGAAATACCCCCCCTGCCTGCATCACATTTTCTGAAAGAAACGCCACATTCAAGTACACGCCCTATTGTTCCCCTAGATTTTGAATTTATAAACAATTTCAGAACCCTACCCACTTTCATTCGGGAGCGATGGGCGCCACAGATTTCGGACCCGTATTTCTCAAACTAATGGCGTCGCACTTTTTTAATATAGAAAAACAACAACAAAAGTATGTGAATAATTTAGACGATGTCTTGAAGATCCTCTTAATTTCTTTTATAAAGAATGCTTAGACTTTGAAAAATTTGAATAATATAAAACTTGTTATATAGAAGTAAAACCTATTTATTTCTCTCCCATGATCTGGATACACAATATTTCAGAAAGTTTTTGTCAATACTTGCTAAGACCTTGTTTAACCCATTATTAAATCGCGCCCATTTTCTTTCTGGATAAATAGTGTTTCAGAAACAATATTGTCAAAATGAGCTTAGACTTGTTTTCACCTATATTGAATTCGCGCCAATTTATTTTCTTGAAAAACAATATTTAAGAAAAAGATTATTTCAAAACTTTCTTAGACTTGTTTTCACACGCTTGAAATCTGCGCCTATTAATTTCTGGAAAAAAATTATTTCCGACTCAATGGCCGAAAAGCTCGCATAGACATTGGGTTTACTCAATATGAATTCGTGCCTAAATTTAAAAACAACATAAAAAACTTTTTCAGTTTAAAATCTTTTTTGTTCCATTTTAATTGGCTCAAAGCAAAAAAAAAAAAAAAAAAAAAAATAGTTTTTAATAAAAAACTTTTTCAGTTTAAAATCTTTTTTGTTCAATTTTAATTGGCTAAAAGAAAAAAAAAAAAAAAAAAAAATAGTTTTTGAACTGTGATACATTCAACTTGTCAAATCTTGATGATTCAAGACAAAAAGCTTTACTTTTACTGAGATATTTACACAATTTAAAAAAATAATATTGGGAAGTTGCATCGTTGTTTAGTCCTCGTACATTATAAATGTATGTAGACTGCTTTAAGAACGTCATATTTTAAAAAAAGAAATATAATAAGACCCATTCACTTTGTTTCTCAAATTTTTAGGAGCATGCACTGACCTTGAATCATGCTTGATCGAATTTTTTAAAACGATTTTAATTTAGTTGAGTCCAGAGTTGACAATAATTAAATAGGCTGAATTTCCATTGAACGTTTTAAAGCAAAATTACGTTGATACGCCTTTTTTTGCATTATCTGCATTTTGAAAATTTAATTTCAAACCCAAACTTGTCTATTCATGACGACTGATCAATTCAACGTCATTCATGGACAAGGTCCATGAATAGGTTCATTTCAGATATCAAAAAGATCAAAAAGGGGGGGGGGGCACGATCAGTTAGGTAAATAAGCAATGTAGTGGAACACTATAAAAGGGACGCAATAAAGAAACTGCTCTATACAAACAAATCATGTTTGATCGTGTTTCTGCTGAGTCTTTTCTTCCGTTTAAGCTATGCATTACAGGCGCAACTGAATAAATATTAGCTGTTTTTACTTCGCCTTGACAATTTAATGACAAACCGAAGGCTCGTCGAAAGATCAGTGCAAAACCAGTCATGCATCCTTCCTCGTTTTTTTTTCAAGAAAATATTTCAGTTTGGAATCATGTTATTAGGTGTTTTTTTCCAGGGAATTCTTCGGAGTGAAACCATTCCAGAATCATGTTCCTTTTCATAATAATTATCTATCATGATATTGTTTTAATGTTCAGATTTCAACGAAATATAATTTAGAATTTTTTGAATCATTAAAGAAAATTTCAAAATGTTGCATTCATAATTTTTGAACTTTTAGAAAAACAAAACATGACACGACTTGTTTTATATTGAACCGTCTACCGCTCTACGCTAGTTTCGGTTTGGTCGTTCAATTGTAACGGTCAAATACGCAAAGGAAAGGTATATTCATATAAATTCTTTTATAAACTTCAGTAGAAAAAAACACGATTTTTATGGTCAGATTTTGTTCAATACAAAAAAATATATTTTAAAAACACGATCAGGTTTGAATTCAGACCTTTTCACTTTCTTAAGTAGTTAAATAA